GCAGGATATTTTGGACCTTTTGCTGGATGTTAGCCAGACCTTTGCAATACCTTTTCAGGATATTTGCTGTACTTTTTGTTTCCGAATAACCAATTTCTACGTGCATCTAGGACCTACCTGTAGGCGAATCTGGCTTATGGAAAACGGCCTGGGGGCATTAAAATTCCATTCCGAAAGCGTGTTAGCTTGATGGGGCCGGTCGGGGTATATCCCATCCTGTAGACGTCTAAAACTTCGAAAAATGCCCGTTTAGCGTCCGCGCTACCATATAAGTTCCGGACCGGCGGAACGTGACAAAAACATCGAAGCGATCGAATTAGCTTAGTCCGGCGAATGGTAAAAATATAACGAAAAAGGGACGCTTTGATTGCTGCGAATTACCCGAAACTGGTTAATTTATACAGATAGCTCGATCGAGAGAAATAACACTATAAAAAAAACGTACATATGCCCAGGAAATCTCCTTGCTTTTAAACAATATCGTTGATATAACAAACCCGGTGTAGTTATAGAAAATAGTTGGGGCAGTAAACAATTATAGTTTTATTCGTGCGTGTGTGTATATATACCAATGGAAGTCCCGCAGGAGGAATTAACTAACGATCAACGGACGCACGTCGAACTTGACGTGCACCATCGGCAATTCGAACGCTTATTTATCGACTAGCACATACGGGGAAAATAAATTATGTTACACACAGGTCGCGTTTACTATAAACTCTAATCGACTATATTGCTCCAATTGTATTTCCAATGTTTCATATTCCCCCTAAATCAAACGCAGTGCGATTACATGGACCTGTTTGTTTAGTTTTATATATTACATCCCTTCTCCTATATATAGATATAGATAGTAGTTTTGTATAAGAAAATCGCAATCGTCTGTAATAAAATTAAAAGAACAAATCGTTTGGGAATCCCGAGCGAGAGAGAGAGAGATGAAAAAGTCGTCATCAATCGTGCATTTTGTGCGGGGGCGTAGGAAGAGCAATTAAACAAATTTATAAGGCTCGTAAAAATGCTAGTTGTCGGATGTAAAAGGGGCAGCGGAGCGTCGCGGAGGGTGAATGCAGATTGGGTCTAATGAAGAAAATTGGACTTAACGCATCTTTAATTCTTTACCTCCTTCGAAGTGTATACACCCGGAAAAGTATTCGGAAGAACTTGCATAAATGTTGCATCAAATGTAATATTTATGATTTTTAATAAATTCAATATTAGGTGATTATAGGCGATAAAACGTTTTTGAATAATGTATTGTATGTATGTGAATTTGTATAAAAATTTGAAAGTATCTTTTTCTCAGTGTACGACTGTTTTTAAAGTTCATTTCCAAGGCCTACTTAGGCGAGGCGGCAGTCACTTCGTTACACCGAATTTACCAATTACAACTTCGCTGAATAATTTAACTTTGGGCGAATTTTACACCGAAATTAAAATAAGCCGATTTTCCCGTCCCGCTGCGGTTTTACCAACACATTTACCGCGTTAATCCACTTCAAACACGAAATCTCGATATTAATCGGTTATATGTACAAGTATATAAATTTTTTCGCTTCATTAACATTCCCCCATCGCCCCCAGGTCGTTCCTGAATTCCGTTTAACCCGTCAGGTATGCGTTCTGTTCGGTTAATCGGCTAACAATCGCTCGAAGGGCAACGGCACCCGATTTCAAAAACGCGTAAAATATGCACGAAACGGAGTTTTCCGTGTAAAAGGGCGGAGCGGTGTAATAAATCAATTTTTCAATAACGTTTCGCTGACACGCCGCATTCCACCGAACCCAACACCTTCTTTCTGGCTGTTATGGCTTGTTTATTTTTCCTAACAGCATTACAAGAAGAATGATATTTAGGGATTATTATTACGGAGAATATTAAAAATATATTAGGTGTTGAATACAGATGTTAATAAAACAATTAATTAAGAGAATCACTTATATTCTACAATTCTAGATTCAAAAGTTATCAATATTTTTTCAGTAATAGGAAAGTTCTTGGTTTATAGTTAGTATTGAGTCTTGACTAGTGTATATTTGGTAATATTCATAGTAATCTTTTTTATGTATCTTCAACTATAAAAACCTATAAAAGTTAATTTTTGAAAAAGTGATACATGACAATTTTTTTTCGAAATTACTTGTATAATGACCTCCTGAAGTTTGGCGGTCTTTATAGTAGACACCATGTACAGAATAATTTTTTGTAGATTTTTAACCTCGGGATATTCTTGTTTGAACAACTTTGTATTTTATAACATATACCTTTAAAATTTCTACAAAAATAATTTTACTCAACATCTGAGTATACCTCTTAAAAGCTTATTCAATGCAGTAGTTTTTACTAAAAAAAACTTATGAATTTTATAAAATTGTTGGCTTTACGACCATTAAAAGACGGTATATGATCAAAATTAATGTGACTATACGAATCAATGTGATATTTTGGTCTTTTTGGAAAAAAACCAAAAAAAATAAAACAATAGAATGTTAAATAAAAGAGAAACTATCGACTTTTCGAAAAAGTGTTATAGGACATTTTTGTTCAAAATTACTTGTACAATCACCTCCTGAAGTTTCACCAGTTTAATAAAAAATGTTGTAAATAAAATGTACCATAGACTCATCAACTAAAATATAAGTACCTACTGATGTTAATTGATAACAAGTACAAATTCATTTGTGTTAATAATAGTAGATACAATCTGTACCGAGTTTATCGTGCTCCAACTGCTCGAATATTCCTGTTTGTTCCATCCCCTATACCCTCATTATGTTAGCATTTACATCGCTTGCAACAAAAGATAACTTTTGTTTGATGCCAAACGCATTACTTACTTACCTGTCAAACCATCCCCCATCAGCATCAATCTTCCAATGGGGTGGGTTCCCGTTCGCGCGGACCATCGGTCATCCGCAAGAACCTTCCATCCCGCTGTACATCTTCCATCGAGCATCTGCATATACGCGAAAATTGATGGATCCCGGGACTCCGTCCTTAATTTTTCATAATTGATAGGAGCCGCGGACGGATCTCGGGGGTCCCGATTTATCAGGTCGAAATAATTAAAAATAAATTATGAAGAAGAGAGGAACAGCGAGCGGGAGCGGCCCGCTCTCTTCGGTTGTAGCGGAGGTGTGTACCGGCGCGGCGCCGCCTCCGCGAGCGCGTCTAATAAACGACACTCCCCTTCTTAATGTATTGTTGATAAGCGGCGGGCTTGAGGCGGTTTTGAGGCGACTTTACGGCCGGTGTCCGAGCGAATTTCCGAGCCGGTATTGGTGATTTCCATCGCTAGTAAGACTGGGTTCATCATGAATTATATTACTTTAGTTATCGCGGCGATATTTACAAGAAGTGTTCGATAATGATGCTTTGATTAGTCGAAAAATGTTTTGTTGATTCGTATTATCAACAGGTAAAAATTACAAGCGGATAAAACGAGTAGAAGGAATAAAATAGTCGGTAATCTTCTTATGAAAATGAACGAAAGAGAATGAATTTTCAATTATTTTGAATTACTTTAGCATGCAAAAAATAAATTTTGTTTTAGAGCGGTTTTGAGCGGTTTTAGATCGGTCATTGAAACGTAATTAGAGCGGTTTGAAGCGGTTTTACAGCTGTTTAGAAGCAGTTTTTGAAGCGTAAGTAGAGCGGTTTTAAAGCAATTTTTGCAGCGTAATTAGAGCGGCTTTAGATAGGTCATTGGAACGTAATTAGAGCGGTTTTAGAACGGTTTTGAAGCAGTTTTAGAAGCGTAATTAGAGCTGAAAAAAAATTTCAACTTCAACGGAAAAAAATTAATCACATATACACTTTGTACTAGTACTTACACCTCCTTAATAAACACCCTATCACATGTTTACCAAACAATCTCACTTATCTTCAGTCTATATTTACTTCTTCACAATAATAATTGTGTAAATAGAATATTACGTAATAACAGAATTTTCCTCTACCTATAACGCATTAATAATGTTATAATAGATGTTAAAATGATAAAAAAAATATTCCTCAGTCATATAGTCATATAAGTCATATAGAAAATGACGAGGAAGTACTATAAATCCATCGATAGAATGCACAATTGTAAATTGTAAAAGGGGGGAAACGCCGGGGATGGCGTTCTCCCTTAGGAGGAACCTAAATAAAGAATTATTCGCGTTCGAGCACCCTCGCTTTTTTTTAATCACGCCGAATCAAAAAACCTTATTTTATTATTGCTTTACGGTCTTCAAAATTACCGGGAGCTTGAGTGTGAAATACATCCAGGGAAGCTACGGTAGAAGGTGGAAACAGAATCGGATTTGGTTTCGTATTTTTTTTTTGGTAATTTTTACAGGTGAACAATAACTGATTTGTTATCCTCGATTTCATTTCCAGTATATCCAGGTATTTATTTTATAAATTGAACATTAATAACTGTATAGAACTGAATATTTATTCCCCGCATACAAGTCGCTAATTTGTTTTTTTTTGCATTTAAAATACTTAATATACAAGTATACTTCCAGATTTGTTGTTTGTATGAGTTCGGTCCTGCTGGAGGAAGACAGAGAAAAGAAAAAGCTCGCAAGGGGTGAAACAACGACATAATAAAACATTATACAAGAAAATGAAAACATGCCGGTCGTAAATAAAACGGTCCTATTTATACGAGATATGGTAAAAGGTATGATGTTTAGGGACATATTCTCCTATACCGGTTTTTCTGTTTTCAAGGGGAGATAAAAACTTTTACCCGATATGGGTTTTTTTTTTCATATAAAATCGGCACGTTATAAAATATTCATTTACCAAAGAAACTCGATGTGAATTTTCGTAATTTAATATTTAATTATTTTTACCTTATTTAACGAGCAAAATAAACTGCTCCACAAAAGTTAAGGAAGTTCGCCAATTTTGCGATTATTATCAAAGTTACAGACTTTTTGGGCACCAAATTTTCAAAAATGCGAAATTAAATGTCTTCTCTCATATCTGAGTGTAGTTATTAAATCTAATAGTTTATAATAATTTTTTCGTGCTTTTCTTCCTTTTCTTCCTTAATAATTTCAATCACTCTTCTTCCTGCGGGTGGGGTTCCAGTAGGTTCATTTGTAGTAGAATTAGGCCACCATGTGGTCCAAGTAGGCCACCATGAGCTGGTAGTAGGCCACCAAGTGGTTTCAGTAGGTCTCATAGAGCTTTCAGTAGGCTCCCATGAAGTAGTATAATCATCAGAAGTTTTAGTAGGCTTCCATGTAGTAGGATCATCAGAAGTTTCAGCACTTGTTTCAGTAGGTATAATAGGTATAATGTGCTTTATTTTAAACGCATTTGTATTATTTGGAACTAAAATGATTTAGAGTTATTTCAACTTAAATCAACATATATTTTTGCAAAAATTATACTCACCAAAATTTAAGAATAATAAAGTTGTTAATAACAGAACAAAGAACTTCATTTTTGCGGATGGAAGGTTTTTAATGATTAGTGTTCAATTGGTTCACTCTGATTGTAGTGGATATTGCGTATGAACATATCCTTTTATACGGAGGTAAAATTGCAAGTTTCCTTATCGGTTGTTCAAATATATTTCGATTGTACTATCAGAATAAACAATTAGTAGAAAAAGATTTTATTGAACACAGTAATAAAATTAAATCCTTTCAAAAGGCACTTAATAAATAGATTAAACCAAAATGGTTCCTTATCTAATTAATCTAAAATTAAGTGGGTATCTATATTGTAAGTAAAGTGAGTTTCCTTGTATTTCAGAATTCTGGCTTAGATTGATAACAAAATTTCCATTCTGTATTTATATTTTTTAACTGAAACGTAATTGATTTAGTAACATATCAACATCAAAGAAAATAATACGCATGCTAAATCGATATTAAACAAATATGATATTAAATGGATAAATTAAACACATTTTTTTTAATTCAGACTAATGGCAAGGCTTATGTATTTAATGAATGTGCATATACCCTGTGGCTGTGAATATAGTGGATATTACTTACATATGTATCCTTTTATATGGGTACAAAATTACCAGTATTAAAAAAATTGAAATGCATTATCTGTTATTCAGATTAATTGATTGCTCTATCTGAAACAATTATTAGAGGAAGGTTTTTATTGAACACAACAATGTAATTAAACACTTTTAAATGGCACTTAAGAAATAGTTTTAAACCAAAATGGATCCTTATCTAACCGTTATATTCCAAAATTAAGTAAATATCTATATTGTTAGTAAAGTGATATTAATTAAATAAATGAATAGAACAAAATCATTTTTTTATTTTAGACAAAGACTGACTAATGCGCTCACTTTTATTTTTGGTACAGATATTTTGCTTGCAACTCATCTCAACTTACAATTTATTTTTTTTTACATTTCCTTTCGCGTTTTGTATGCAACATAAGTTGTTTGTCGGAATTCCATCGGGATGGACGCAAAGTTTTTTTTGCACCTCTCCAAATGAAAACGTTTCGTCATACACATCAATATATCAATATCTTTCGAAACTTTTTCCACTCGATCTATTAAAAAGGCCGCGCGTTCTCCGGCCAAATACACATCCACAATTCGAAACGGTCGAAACCGGGCATTCCCGACGGGACGGGACGCCCCGGAATTCGTTACATTTCTTGCCAGAAGTCGTCCGGCAGTAATATTTTCCATAAATCATCGACGCTGGACCTGACCTGTCCGAGGGAACGTTAGAAAACTTCCAAGGGTTTAACGGTTTTTCCACTTTTCCGAAACGGCAACGCGAAATGAATTATTATCAGCTCGCCTCGCTCGGAAAAATGGAAAAATACGAAGGGTACAAATTGATAAATAATTGATCTCAGGCACCGAGCCCGTGCATTAGTCATCACACACCGCCTATATGGATATAAGGAATATTATTCGAATTATATTCCCGCACAAAACCTCACAAATTAAAAGATTTCCTTCATTTACATCGAGAGAAACTAATCTACTCTCTTCTACTTTATCCTCTTCAACTCTGTTACTCTATTAACTCACGCGTATAACGTTGTAAATTAAAAGATTTCCTTGATACACAAGCAAGCGAAACTTCTACTCTAATTTACTCTTCTTCTGTTTCTTCTTCTACTCTACTCTCTTTTACTTTGTCCTATTATTCAACTGTACTCTTTTACTCTATTAAACTCCCTCATAAAATGCCGCAAATTAAAAGATTTCGTTGATACACAAGCGAGCGAAACTTCTACTATAGACTACTCTATTCTACTCAGCTCTCCTCTATTCTCCTCTACTATACTCTCTTTTACTCTATTTTATGGCATTTATGGTTATAAATAAGCAAAATTATTCGATTAAACTGCCGCACAAAACCTCACAAATTAAATAATTTCCTTAATTTACACCGAGAGAAACTAATCTACTCTGTCCTCACTTTACTATCTTCTACTTTATTCTCTTTAACTTTCCTTTCTACTCTCTTTTACCCTATTTTCGTTTGAGTAAAGTTACTCTACTCTCTTCTACTTTATTCTCTTCAACTTTCCTTTCTACTCTCTTTTACTCTATTTTCGTTTGAGTAAAATTACTCTACTCTCTTCTACTTTATTCTCTTCAACTCTATTACCTCCCGCATAAAACGCCGAAAATTAAAAGATTTCGTTGATACACAAGCGAGCGAAACTTCTACTCTAAACTACTCTCTTCTACTCTACTCTCTTCTACTCTACTCTCCTCTACTTTATTCTACTCTCTTTTACTCTATTTTAAGTGCATTTATGGTTATAAATAAGCAAAATTATTCGATTAAACTGCCGCACGAAAAGTCACAAATTAAAAGATTTCCTTAATTTACACAGAGAGAAACTAGTCTACTGTGTTCTCATTTTATTATCTTCTACTTTATTCTCTTCAACTTTCCTTTCTACTCTCTTTTACTCTATTAACTCCCGCATAAAACGCCGAAAATTAAAAGATTTCGTTGATACACAAGCGAGCGAAACTTCTACTCTAAACTACTCTCTTCTACTGTACTCTCCTCTGCTCTACTGTACTCTCTTTTACTCCATTTTACGTGCATTTATGGTTATAAATAAGCAACATTATTCGATTAAACCGTCGCACAAAACGTCGCAAATTAAAAGATTTCCTCGATACATGCGAGCGGGCGAAACTCCGCGGGGAACTCCCCCAGTAATTGTCCTAATGATATCTATCGTGAGTACATTCCGTCAGACAGAAGCAATCTAATTATGCAATTCGGGCTGACACGGGCGCTCCGCCGCGACGCCGACGCCGCGGGAAATGACTGACAACGTCGCACTAATCACCGAAACGGCTCGTTGCAGATCCATCTCCTGGATGCACCTCGCGTACAATCTGAGCAATTAGTTTCCATCGATTCGCCGGTTTGGGTATTCCCACAAGTCCGCCCGACCGGCATTTCGTTATTCAATTGTGACGCTACGATGTTTACCCGCTAATCCCGGTCAATTTCGTACGATTCATCGATTGTGTATATCCTCGATCGAGTGTAATGTAGAAGTTTACGTCGTTGTGTAAAAGTTTTCCGGAGCGGGATGCATGATTAACATGGCAATCGCAAAGCTCGAATGTAAAGTGGATCGGAAGTTAACTAACTCCGGGAAAAGAATGGCATGTAAATTTTTAATTGCGCCCCCCGTATCCCCGATAGGAGTCTCCGGAGATCGGGACGGAGGAAATGTCGTTAAATTAAAAACGTTGTATAAGTACCTACTCGTATTGTAGGTTCGAGGAGTTTCAACGAAAGTTTCGAGAAAAAAATATATATTTTGATTAGTCGAGGTCGGCGTGCGCTTAATGGAAATACAACATTTACATATGCAGAATACGCGGAAAAACGATTTTTGCATACGGTCACGCCCGGATGATTTCGGGTTGTTTGTAGTGCGGAATTGGGCGTTCGGGGAATTACCGAGGGCCGTTCGAAATTCCTGATTTTATTTGCCGTCCCTCGTGTTACTTATTCGGGAAATAACGCGCATTTTCCTTCGTTTCCGCCAAAGTGTCGTCCGGGAAAGAAACGGAACGAATTCCCTCGCTTTGCTACCCTTAAATCGAGTTAGAGTATGCACGGAACAAAAAAAAACAACATAACGAATAGTCGGATTAAAATATTCACCTTCCCTCTGTTTTATTACAGAAAAAAAAAACAGATTGTACCTACTCCTACGTTATACTCGCTTTGAGTGAGAATATTTTGCTAAATTTTTAGGTACTTGTGTTATTATAACTTCAGTATAGTAGCTAAAGTTCCTCTTATTTTACCAGTACACTGAAATTCCTTCATTTCTACACGTTATTTCAACAAAACATGTATAAATATAGTACATACATAGTACCTGAAATTACTAGAAAAATAAAATACTATTCCTTTTTATTATAACTTCAGTATAGTAGCTAAAGTTCCTCTTATTTTACCAGTACACTGACATTCCTTCATTTCTACGCGTTATTTCAACAAAACATGTTTAAATATAGTACATACATAGTACCTGAAATTACTAGAAATATAAAATACTATTCCTTTTTATTATAACTTCAGTATAGTAGCTAAAGTTCCTCTTATTTTACCAGTACACTGAAATTCCTTCATTTCTACACGTTATTTCAACAAAACATGTATAAATATAGTACATACATAGTACCTGAAATTACTAGAAAAATAAAATACTATTCCTTTTTATTATAACTTCAGTATAGTAGCTAAAGTTCCTCTTATTTTACCAGTACACTGAAATTCCTTCATTTCTACGCGTTATTTCAACAAAACATGTATAAATATAGTACATACATAGTACCTGAAATTACTAGAAAAATAAAATACTATTCCTTTTTATTATAACTTCAGTATAGTAGCTAAAGTTCCTCTTATTTTACCAGTACACTGAAATTCCTTCATTTCTACAGGTTATTTCAACAAAACATGTATAAATATAGTACATACATAGTACCTGAAATTACTAGAAAAATAAAATACTATTCCTTTTTATTATAACTTCAGTATAGTAGCTAAAGTTCCTCTTATTTTACCAGTACACTGAAATTCCTTATTTTCTACAGGTTATTTCAACAAAACATGTATAAATATAGTACATACATAGTACCTGAAATTACTAGAAAAATAAAATACTATTCCTTTTTAGCTATACATGTATAGATCAACCGGTTATTCCGGGTCATAAATCATTTCGAAATCGTCGTAAAAGACACCGTCATGCCAGTTATGGCGTTAGAACATGTAACGACACGTTCATCAACTAATTGAAACTCACGAAACTCGTAAACTAAACTGGCGTGTCGATGTTGAAATAATCAACACTTTTCGACTGCGCGCCGCTCGTAAATCCTTCGCTCGAATATAACCCATTTGACGACCGTATAGTAGCCGTTTTTTCGGTTATAATACCATCAGCAAGTTTTCCGCGAGTTAGAAATAAACGCGAGAAGCGAGGTTAGATTTTTA